CAGACATGGAAACATCTACTGGGAGCACAGCAGCAGGGTCTACAATGGAGGATAAAACTGTATTAGACACGCAGTGAGTGCAGCAGAGCGGAGCGTCTACTAATCAGGAGGTTGGTGGTTCAATCCCTGGCTGCTCCAGCTGGCATGTTGAGGTTTTCCAGGTTCTCCTGGTTCTTCTGTCCTTCAGAGCGTGAGTGTTGGGTCAAACGTGGTTAGATACACAATACTCAGCTGTATGAGCCGGTGTAAGAAAACACCTCCTCAAAGTGAGTGATGGGACCTGTGAGTGTGCAGTAGCTTAGCATCAAAGGTGCTGAGTGTGTGTGTGTGTGTGAGCTTTACTCAGAAAGACTGCTACCATGTTATTAATAAGGCATAGCTGGGTACAGGCAGCTAACAGACTTATCAATATTACAGCTCAATCAGTCAGATGCAGGAGAATCATTATTCTATTCAATGAATATTTAATGGCTGTAAGCACTTTGAACTCTTATTCTCTAAGCTGAAGATGAGACATGAGAACAGAATTTAAACTGCTGTGTTAGGATGGTGCAGGTTAGTCTGTAGAACAGGAAATACTGAGGGAATATTATCCATATTTAATACTGAGGCTCATTATGGAAAGACTTCTGCTCACAGAGGTTTGAGCCATCCTCCAGGGCCTGTGGACAATCCTCAGAGGAACTGATTGGTTAGCAGGTGGTGATGTCATAGCTGTTGGACGTAACCTGCTGCAGCACAGGTTAGGGCTGAGTTGCTACGGCAACGGGTCATGGTTGGAAGTAAACCGCCTCCAGGATAAAGTAGCCTGGAAAAGCCTGGAAAATGCTGCTCTGTAGGATGAGCCTGTGGTGTGGTCGAAGTAGCTGTAGTAGTAGCAGTGCTGCTGTGGTTTGTTGCAGTGATGGCTATGTGACCTTCCCAGTATCTGCTGGTGGGATGGAGCTGTTCTTATGACACCTTCTGTTTTCATAACCTCACGACTGTTTCCTTCCTATTACCTGCAAGTTTCTCTTCTCCCCAGTTCACCCACTGTGTTTGTCTCTCCCCTGTTGCCCTGAAAAGTCTGTGTCTGTTCTGTTGGATCTCCTGTTCCAGTTCATTACCCAACCTCCCTTCACAATGACCCCCGCGTCCTGCCCGAGCCTGTGGCCAGTCTGAGAGCCAGCCACTGCAGTCCAGTCTTTTACTTACTGGACAATGGTAAGAGGAGGAGTGTTTCATGGATCTCAGCCTCTTCGTGGACACCTGCTTGGAATTTCTGTCTTTCTTTGTTTGTGTCGTTGTTTTGGGAGAGGGGATAATTAGGCTTTGGACAGGCTGCTGTTTGATGTTGCACCTGCATGCTAACGCTGCTTCCACACTGTGAGCAACACTATCAGCAAACGTTTACTGACTAATGTTGAAGCACAGGTATCAAATATAACATATTCAGCCTTTAAATAAAACCTCGTGCTCACTGACCAATGGGGACACAGTAAATTCATAACAACAAATCATATTTCTTTGGCTAGCACAAATGTTGTATATATAATAGAAGCTGTAGACGGTAGTTAAACAGCAGCAGGTGCACAGGTGGAGGAGGCTCCTCCGTCACCTGTGGTGGGTCATGGGTCGGTTCAACATGAAGCATCTGCAGTCGAGAACTAATAAAACCAAGCAGCAGCATCACTATGTGAAAAGTACGGTCGAAGCCTCTCGCAGCACGTGTGAAGCTCTCCGTTTGCAGTGCAAACAGGCTGACAGGACTCTAGACTGTGGCTGCTCTTCAGTGTGCTCCATGCTTTGTGCAGAAAACGGCAGCTGGTGCATTGTGTGTGTGTGTGTGTGTATGTGTGTGTGTGTGGAGGGCGGGTCCAGACCTCGGGTTCTTCATCATCCTGCAATGCTGCTGAGGCGGATAGGCTGCAGCTGGGCACCTCTCCTCACTCATCGGCAGAACCGGCGCTTCAGCCTGTCTGACATCAATCATCGCGCCTTCGCCGGAAGCTCACATCTAAACACAAACATGCTCCCGTACCTGGCGATGGCGCTCGGGGTCTCTGTCTGTCTGCGTGTCAGTAAAGCTGCTGTCTTATCTTGCTGTGCTCTTGGCTAACATTCATCACCGTGCTGTCTCTGACTAACTGCATGGAGCCCTCTCTGACGAATAAGCCCTCAGCTTGCTTTGGATGTTCAGAAGTTAGTTAATCAGAGGTTTAGTCCTGTGTTAGCCTCGTTTGGGATGTCAGCACTCTGCACATTACTGTAACCTGGACACAAGACCAGAGCGGCAGGACAGTTAGAGAAGACAGATGAACACAAGCCTGACGAGCCACAGGAAGTAAGATGGACGCTGCAGTTATGTCTCTCAGAGGTATCTGTGTTGTCTCTGTGCTCGCCGTCCGTGTGGACAGATGAGACGTTACCTGCTGAGAGCCGGTGCAGGCGAGAAAAACAGGCTGATAAATATGTAAATGCTGCAAATGCAGCGACCTGCAGGGTCACAACAACAACTCTAAAGATCCCACCTGCTGCTGGATAACAAGAAGGAAACGTTGGCTCCATTCTGCTGTGAATCCTGGAGTAATGAACAGAGTGCTGAGGTCAGCGATGAGGCTGGTCCGACATCAGTTACTGTCACACGTGTGTTTTAAAACACTGTGTGCACAAGAACAACGCAGAACACACGTGAACGCGTGAGCACGATGTAGTGACATCGCCACTTTCCTGCTCCGCTGGCTGGAAAGTGTCTCTGTGGTTAAAACCAAAGGTGCTGAATTCCAGTGGGCGCAGTGCATGCTGGTTAATATTCATTTCACAGTGAGAGACCTTTCGGCTCCTCAGATCAGTCCCATCGGTTTATTTTGATTAAAATACATTTTATGATGTGTTAATGCAGCCGCTGAGCCATTAAACAGAGGAAGCATCTGTGAGCTACAGGTTCATTATGAGAACATAATTCCTGTCGTTGCATCTCCAACACTGCACCTTTCATACGGTCGCAGCAGCATGTGGTGACTCTGGTTTATTATGTAGAGCGCACAAGCACACGGCCCTCATCTGTTATCTCATTAGCAGCACTTATTCAAAAGCCCGTCGAGGTTAACGGAAGAAAAGCAAACAAATTAATAACCGGAGATTCGGTGAGACCAGTGTTTCCCATCACACGCTCAGCCGCCAGCGTCGGCCGTGCAGCAAACATGCTGACATCAAACAGGTGTTTCATGCTTTCTTTCCTCGTGGTCATCAGCTGGATCGTGTCTTCTAAATCCCGCCTTCTTCCTGAGGGGAAACTGACACGTGACGCCTCGAGTTCGACCTTTGCAGTTCTCTCCTTACTGCAAAATGCTTGCAAAATGTGTATGTGGTTATTTTGGTTGCCTTCAGTGTCTGACTTAGTTTTTTTTATGACACTTTGTGGTGTCACCCTGTTCATTTGTTGCTTCCACGTCAAATCCCAGGCCCACAGAGCGGACTTCATTATTCCAGGTGTAGACTTGAGGAGGAGAGTGATTAAAAAAATAAAAATGAGTCTTTACACGTCAAGAGATGCAAAAGAGAGCACCTGCTTCAAATGACTAATCACTGAGTAATCGCTCTGTCCACTCGAGACTTTCTGCCGTTGCGCTGACTCAGTATCACTGATCGTGCCGGCCTGGGATGACAGTGGAGCATGCTTTTTGAAAATATGCCTGCAAACATGCAAGTGCACCAGTTTGCATGTTCTTTGTTCATTTGGTTTCTTTTCAGTTTTTTCCCAGTTTGGTTTGTCATCGTTTGAAGCAGACTACACCTCCTTTTTTTTCTTCTTCCATGCTTTCTTTTTTGTTCTATTTTATTTTGAAGGGATTAACTGGTGCTTTGTTTCCTATTCTTTTGTTTCAGTAAAGGGACCCGGCAGAAAGTTAAGTCTGCCAACAGATCTTAAGACTGATCTTGGTACGGTAGGCGAAAGCCAGCAGTTTTCACTTGATTTCCTTTGAGTTTCTGCTTTTCTCATGGTTTCTAGGCTTTTGTGTTGCATTAGTACTTTTGGATTTCACTCAAACTTTCCTCTTTCAGTTTCCTTGTTGCTCTGTCCGCCTGTTCAACCAGCCCATGAGACTGTCGGCCTAACGTATTCGTCCATTTTGCCCGTCAGTGTGTTTTGATTTAAAGCGTCTGTGTTTGTTCCTTCTACATTTTGCAAGTGTTTACAAAGGTGATTTGTAGCTCATGCCCATATTTGAACTTGAGGCATTCTATTGCTTTATCATGATTGGACCATCCTCTGATTTATGCAACCTTTCCTCCATTGACAGGCTTTGCTCTGCGGTGCTGGATCACTTGCTACCTCGCTCATTGTAACTGGCCCATTTCTCTCTTAAACAGCCTTCCTTCCATTTTGACTGGACCCCCCCACCCCCCCATACATCTGTAACTGCTGCACACACATGCAGATCTCAGGTTTCCCTCTGCAGCGCCACGCATGCTGTCGCCTCCCAGAACTTCTGCTTCTCTAACCCCAAACGTGCCTCCTGATTTTTGACTTGTGTTGTTTGCTAAATGCTCCATCAGTAGGAAGGGTGAGGACAGAAACCCAAACTTTGAATGCAGCACATTTAGTTTTGGTGTCGTCATCGAACATTAAAGAAAACAGTAGAGCTGCAAACGCTGAAGGTTTAAAATCCACAACAATAGAAACCTGTGTGACAGTAAGACGCTCGAGTGTGTTTGTGCCTTTGTGTTGATGATGTGTGTTTGTGCGCGCGTGATGAGGGGGTGGAGTGGGATGTGCACGTCAGCACAGTGTCGCGCTCTCAGCTGTAAACCAGTTTCCTTCAGAACATTTCGAGGCAACGAAATGAACAAAACGTTAAGCCTGATCGCGGCGGCGTCATACGCTCCGTGTTACCTGCAGTTTTTCAGTCCCTGCGCTGCCTCGTCAGTCCTGCTGTGAAACTGGGTGAGTGTTGCACGTGGACTGGGTGGCACCCTGGAGCTTTTCATCTTCACTTTGAAATTGAATCATTTTTGCAGCGACTGGCTGCACGGCAGAGCTCTCTGGGCGCCGGAGACAAACGATCGGAGAGGAGCGAGCGGGGAACGTTCGAGTGTTTGCACAAATGATCATGATATTGTTTATCTGCTCCACTCGTCTCCATATATAAGACCTTCAACCAAAAAACACATGGAAAGCTTCTGTCCTCCCACGGCAGCGACCACAGCTGCTGTTAATCTGCCGGGGGGGGGGGTTTCATGTACTCAGTGAGGATGAGAGCGTCGTCTCTAGAGCTCCTCTGTGGTTTAAAAGTGTGCAGGCTTTCAATAAAATGCACACGAGTCAACACCAAGAGAGCGCATGTTTGAGGGTATTGTTTCATTTCAATAGTGAAAAACGGGCCACGCACTAGTGTGGATCGATACCAGTGCCAGCATATTGGGATCGATCCGTCCGCCTCTCGTGCCCGCTCACAGGTATGGCTGAACACAGAACAAGAGAAGGTCAGCCCGGCCTTTCTTTCCTTTGTCTCATTAACAGGGTTTGGCTCCAGCACAGTGTACGGACTCGTCCCCGAGGGGAGGCCGTGTAAAGAAATCACCGAGCGTGTTGGTATCAGCTCTGTCCGTAGATGAATTTGTAGCCCAGTCCAATATAAGCGAGTGCTAATTTGACAGAATAAAGAGCAGAGCTTGTTTTCGTTCTTCACCTGCAGCTTTGGATGTCATAAAGCTTCTGGCATTAGAGTTTCTGCTAAAAACAAGGTTTCCCCACAGTTCACTGAGATAAAAGCAACAAAGTGGAGATGAAACAAGCCTGTTTTATGTCACGTCACAGACTTGATGAAGCTGCACTCACAGTTTTACTCTGCATCTTCCTCCTCTGCCCCGGCATCTCCTCCTTGCACATACTTACTTCAAACCACTCTCCAGCCTCTGTCACTCACTCTCCCTTTTTCCCTCACTATCATCTTCCTACTTGGCAATCAAATTTTCAGCATCAGCTTGCTCCTCTTACACTGCAGAAATATTCATCTTCATCGGTCATCTAGTGTCAGCCTGCCTTTTTGCAGTCTAGTAGACAAAGCGTCTCCCGGCAGGTCGGGAGAAGCAGTTATCTCCCTAATTCGAGGTTCCCTGCCCTGATTTTTATTTCACTTCCCATCAAACTAAATGACTTGTGAAGATGGATAATGCAGCAGTAAATCAGAATATGTTTAAAGTTGAATTACATCCCTCTTTCTGTTGTTTGCTAATGCTTTGCCGTTGTTACAGATCATGTCAATGGACATTGCACTAGCCCCACCTCCCAGCCCTGCTCGGCGGGGAAGCCTCGCATTCCAATGGGTCCCGAGGGGCCACGGCTTACCCGCAGAGGCCCTGGCCGACCGCCCTTCCGCAAGGCCCAGTCCGCTGCTTGCATGGAGATCTCTTTGCCTGTGTCCCACACTGAAGGTGTGTGCTTGTCCTCCCAACTCCCATCCCTAACCCTCTATAACAAACCCCCCTCCCAGCAAGTGCATGCCATCCTCTCACCCCAGGGTAAGTGGAGAAAGGCCTGACACATGGTCAACACAAGGCAAGCACATGCTAATGCAAGTTAGCAGCATGAAATCCAAAATCGGGGTGTGGTTCTGCAGAGAAGATGCTGCAGGGTAAACAGAGCAACACACAGTAAGAAAAACACACCTCATATACAGCTGCACAACACATATACAGCGGTAAAATAACCAGACTGCATCTGCAGGAGCTGACAGTCACGTACCAGGACACCACAGTTGCATTACAGCATGCCAATGGCACTCGTGCAGCTTGCATTAGCATCAGCTTACAACATTCAGACTGCAGGTTCTGCTTCTTCTGAATGCAAAAACGAGTCCTTGCATTGTGTCCTTGACTCTGCTGCTTGTGTCGACGATGTTGCAGACC